GAGTTTCTGGTGCCTTGGGAATTTCAGCAAGCCATGTTCACCATGTTCTTAGAAATGACCATAGACGTCCTTATCATTTGCAACCTGTGCAAGGACTACAGCCAGGGGACGGAGAACGAAGAAGCACATTTTGTCAGTAGATTCTTGATAGAACTGATAATAATAGGGAGTTTTTAAGTAACGTTTTATGGACCGATGAGTCATGCTTCACTAGACGTGGAGTGGTAAATTTTCATAATCAACATATTTGGTCGCATGAAAATCCGCATGCAGTTCGGGAAAGAAATTTTCAGCATGAATTTAGTGTGAACGTGTGGATTGTTATCTACCGTAATCGACTATTTGGACCCCTTTGCCTGCAAGGTTAAATGCTGCGACCTTCTTGAAATTTTTAAAGGCTGAACATGCAAATATGTGGGATGATGTTATGTTAGATTTAAGAAGATTGGCCTGGTTCCACCTTGATGGTTGTCCAACTCATTATTCGAGAATAGTTAGAAACTGGCTGGACGAAAATTATCCAGAAAGATGGATCGGCCGTGGAGGACCAGTCGCCTGGCCTCCACGATCCCCTGACCTAAATCCATTAGATTTCTTTGTGTGGGGATTTCTAAAAGGAAAAGTGTACCAGACTCCCGTAACCACAGGAGATATGCTAATAGACAAAATCAGGAATGCATGTTAATGAATAATGCTATACCACGTTCGATCATTCGTAGATGTGAATTGTGTATTGAACAATTGGGTTTACATTTCGAGCAACTACTTTAGATTTTGTATGTTTGTCCTAACTATCCAATAGAATTTTAGTTTTAAATAAAAAATTTAATTTGTTAAAAATAATATTGGAAAATTATACAAATTAATATTCTGTTTTTTTGTGTTTATTTGGAGTTAGGAATTATTGCTGTGTTTAAAAACACAATCTTAACGATCATCTTAATTACTTGTAATGCCCAAATCGAAAATGTAAAAAAAATATTATTTTCCCATAAATAATTAAAAATGCATCGAACCTTAAAAATCGAAATATCTCAAAAACGGCTAACTATAACGAAAACTCACAGGAGAGCTTTTTTATGCAGAAAAGTGCGAAGAATCAGTTTTCTTATCCAAAAAGCAAAAACTTGCACTAAGAAAAAATTTTCGGTCATTTTAATACACTACAGGTACAGTAGAGAGCGCCCTCTAACGGCTACAGTAAAACTATGCCCATGGTTCGTTTTGTCGTACCAAAAAATCCTTGTATACCAATTTTGACTGTTATACATCAAATATTGTTCGAAATATTTAGGAAAAAACTATTTTAAAAAGTAAATTTAAACACGCTGTATTTCGGAAGTCACGCATTTTTCGACTCATGTTTATATAGACTTTATGCATTAATTTTAAAAGTTCTATCGAATCTTAAAGTTATGTAACAATAAACTGAAACACCCTATAGTGATGCGACTCGATTCCGATATAAAATGTTATGAAACGCAGGTTCTTTCCAGGAGAAGATTTGCAAATGGGAGGCTGACTTAATCTGTGGCTGTGAATTCGTCGTTTCTAATCCTCAATCCACAAAATCAACGCGGGATTTTTTCAGGGATCGCTTTTGGCATAATATTGTTTATATTATATGCCATCGACCTCCTCTTCTGTACAATCAATCCATAGTTTTGCTAATGACGACACTCTACATGCAGGCATTCAGTGTATTAAGTCGATCTCTCCGGATGCTTTCCAAAATACAGTACAGTACCTTGACTAAGAATAAGAAGGCGGACTCGCTGTACCAAAATTGTCGGACGTCGTACATTCAGAGCTGACCGATACGACCTTTGTACCTAGTAGATCGGTAACAGAACACGGAATTTTCACAAAATCGTATAAAAATTATATAATAGATAAAACTTAGGATTTAGGTCATTGAAGTAGTATTCTTAAACGAAACAAAGTTCCGGATTCTACCGGAGGCAGGAACTCTTCGATTTTTTATTTTCTTGTTACCGTCATGTAAATATGTTATATAGATAAAAAGTTTTCACGAAGATGTTCTTGCTTGATGAATAATCTACAAAGGTTGTACGATATTTTCATATCTACGTGCGTTTACGAGATACGTCAGTTTCCTTAGAGCTGTCATTATTCCATACGTAAATGCGAGTAGCTGAATACAAAAAACGGTATCCTTGTTATGGAAAGTTAGTTATCTGGTATACAGGGTGATTCACAAGTCGTAAACCAAAACTGAAACATCATACACAGAACCGAACTTTGAGGGGGTCTTCTATGTAACATTTTTTCCTCGAGGACTTCATTAAAGAGTGTTGAGGTTTAAAAATACAAAACAATTCAATCTTCGAAATCGTCAACTGGAATGAACTAAACTTTGGTAAGTGGATTTATTTAAGTATCGTACTAACGTTTCTTGGGAGATAGTTTGACAAATTTATTTATGTGCTATACGGTTGTTATCTATATATACTACTACCAATATGGAAGTACCAAACTTACCCGGATGGTAATTTCCTCTTCCAGAGGAACTGGAAGTAATTAATTTGGCGTTGAATGATCCTAGTACAAGTACTAGGAGGATTGCAGCCCAGTTATTATGTTTTTAAAGTATTGCGTGAAGAATTTTACATCCCTTCCATCGGCAAAATGTTCAATGTCTGCAACCCGGCGACGAAGTGCAACGGCGAAATTTTTGTGAGTGGTTACTGTAAATGCATAATCAAAACGCAGATTTTATTGATTTGGTTTTGTGGTCAGATAAATCGCTTTTTACGAGGAGTGGAACCTTTAATTCTCTTAATGAACATATTTTGGCGTTAGAAAATCCCCGTCCTGTAAGAATCTACTCGTTTCAAGACAGTCATTTCTTGCGTGCGGCATTTTCAATAACCAACTGCTTATGCAGGTATTGCCACAACGTTTAAATGCTAACTCATACTTAGCTTTTCTAGAGAATTACATAGAAAATGTGTTAGATGATGTTACGTTAGCAGCGAAAATACGAATGTGGTATCAGCACAACAGTGCCCCACCGCATGTTCGTCGTGGTTAAATGATCATTTCAGACAACGATGGATTGTCAGAAACGGAACCGTAAATTAGCCTGCGAGGTCTCCTGACTTGAACACCCTGGTTTTCTTTTTGTGGGGCGCTTTTAAACAACTAATGTATGTTGAACAAATTAATACTGTTGATTAGTTACAAGAAGTAATAGATAATGCGTTCCATCAAACTCAATCCGCAACAAATTTTGCAGAAGTACATTTTTCTTTATTAAAAAGATGCCGCACTTGCATCCGTTAGAATGGTGGTCTTTTTGAACATTTATTGAAATAAAGCTTTAATTATCTAATTTTATTTCTACGAAGGCAATGCACTCTAGGAAAAAAAGTACAAGAGTAATAATTTGTAGCATATAAAATTCTAAAAATTGCGTGTTTTGAAAAAAGAAACAGTAACGTACTATTTTTATTCGTGAAAAATAATGCCATTAATCTCCTGTATCTCCGCCACTGGTGCACGTTAATTTTAAGTAAAGACTTAAAAAAAATGGGCAATACTTCGGCAAGTCTGCATACCAAATTTTAGTTCATTCCAGTTGACGGTTTTGAAGATATTAAAAAAATTGTTTTTTACTTTTAAACTTCAACACCCCGTATCCTTTTGATGAAGCCTCGAGGAAAAAATGTTACATTTGAGGGGGTCTTTTCCCTTTAAAATGCGGCTCTGTGTATGATGTTTCATTGTTGGTCAGGACTTGTCACTCACCCTATACATAAATGCTGTTAAGGACCTTTTAAATAGATTTATTTTAACATTTTGAGGAACTATTCTTGAGTATATTTTTGAATTTTTACTAGCAACTGTTCACAGTGGTAAAAGTTTGACTGTTTTTACTTGGTTATTGTCATTTTTTTTATGGAGTATAAATATTATTCCAACAATACAGCATGTACAGAAAAATTGTTCAGTGCATTCGAGGAAGCATATTTTCAACGCCTTATGTTGTTATTATTGATATTTTGTATTAACTTCCCTTCGAAATAATTGTATTGCTGAATAAGAAGGGTCGTACTTTGTTGTGCTATATTGTCTTTCCTAAAAAGTAGATAATTTTGATTTTTAGTGCGATTGTTCTACAACAAATGGCAGTATTTTCTACGTCTCGTGTAGTTTTTATTAATTATGGGGCTTGGTAAATGACTATTCTAACAATCAGATGCGTGGCATAATGATAGCTCCAAGAAAATTGGCATAATCTTGCAAAGGAACGTAGATATGAAAATATCAGAGAGACAGCTCTTGTAGCTATCTTATCAAGCTATAACACTGTATTAACAACTTTTTTCTATATATCACATTTACAGTGCCTCAACAAAATAATCAAAAATAAAACAGGTACTTTATTTTTTGCCAACGTTATTATCCGGAACAATATATCAATAACCTAAATCCAGATTTTAATCTATTATAAAATTGTTGTTATGCCTAAAGTGACCATTTACTTAGCTATATGGTTTTCGTCAGTTCTCCTACAAGAATCGACTTAACAGGGCATCTTTCAGCTCGCTATAGCAGTCGCGGTGCCCCGGTGTTTAGATTTCTGCCTGCGTGGCTCCTTCAGAGTAGAGAAAGGAAGGAAGGAACTGCGGGATGCGGAAAAACACTACCTGCTATAAGAATATTAATTAATATGGGTGGTCGACTGCGGCTGATAGAGGTGGTGGTGTGGTGAATTTAAAGGCGTAAAAACACAAAATATAGTGCAGTCGAGAAATTAGGTTTTCATGCATGTGCACACACGAATATTTGACGTATTTGATATGGTGTCGCGACACAAGCCACCCTTCTTTTTTGTAGCTAGCGTAAAGTAAGAAGGAAGGGTGCGGAAAATTTCTTAACAAATGGATAGTGAGTATCTTATACTTTTTGTTATTCCAGGCGTAACTGTTCCTTCAGAGTTACAACTTTAATGATACCCTTTGGACTAAGTGAGTCTACTCGACTGTACCACCTACCGTGGTGGCAATGAATCCAGATACGCAAATCGCCGTCACACTACTCCCCAGTTGCAAGACAGCAGCTAAGTTGAATACTTTTTCCACATCTCCGGTTGTCCTGAAAAGCATTCAGGTATTAATAAAACTCCAAAATTGACTTCACAGGATAAACTTGGTCTGGCAGTGTTTAGTGTGTGTTTGCCGCAGAACTGATACAAGTCTCCAGATATGTACACTAGGATGACCCAAAAAAATTAAAGTTCTTGTTTTCAAACGCATACCCTCTAATTTTGCTTGAACAATGTCAAACCAATTGTAAATAAAGTTTTATGAACCTAGCCCAAGGCAGCCCGAGCCAAGTTGAGTTGGAACATGTCAAATGCTCATTTCTTCTACTAGTTATGCTGGTTTCGTTCAGTCAACATGTCCAAGGAATTACGCAGTTTTCAAAGGGAATGTTGTTAATAAGGGACGTAAAGCATCAAATTACGGGTTCAAAACTTCGCTCTAATGGATAAGTACTAGCAGTTTTGTTGTATAATATCCGGGATGTGAAATTAAGTGCCAACGAGAACGCCAACCTAACTATACGTGAGTGCAGTATTTATATTTTCCGAGAAAAGGCACGTATACTACCTAACTGTGTTAAGAAACCAGTTAACTTATACCAAGATTTGCAAAAAAGGTAAGCAAAATACAAGAAGTGTTTGAGCAACGTAGAATTTGTTACGAACCTTTACAATCTGTTCAATATTGCGCTTGTCGATGCCCGTCAACTGATGAAAATAAATGAAGATAGGATCTTCTTGCAGCGGCAGGGAGGTCCAGACCTGGTCATTTAGCTGGGTTGGACAAGAAATTATCCATAAAATAAGAAAATACGCGTCTCAGGAACACCTAAGAACAAAAGCGGCGAGCTAAATTTGTTGCTTTCTTAACACTGCAAGCTCAAATGAGGTTTACGCGTATACATTAATTGTCTACCTCTTGATGTATACAATGCGTATACAATCTATACATTGCGTATATAATGAATACAATGTATACAATGATGAAGACAATATACAAGGTGTTCCTTAATGATATGCTAATATTTAAGAGTGTGAATCTACATGAAAAATTAATGTTAGTTTGCTTTATATTTTATGGACTAAAAATGTTTCCTTACAAAGACTCGGGGTGTTGAAGTTTTAGGAAAAACAATGGAAATTAATTAATATTTTCAGAACCGCTTCAGATATTTCACTGATATTTAGTACGTAGTGAAAGTTAATGAAGTTGCATATGTTTCAATGCAAAAATAATTTTTAGCTTTAACAGTGGCGTGCGAACGGGTGTTGACTTCGATATTTTTCAAGAAAAAAATAGTACGCCGATGGTTTTTTGCCAAATAAAATAAATTCCCCGTTCAATTTAAAATAAATGATCTCTCTTTAATTGTTTTCCTTCGATGTGCCATTTTTGAGTAAAAACAACCGTTCTTATTGGCCGAGAAAATTAATGTCATAATTAAAGAATGCAATTTAGCAATAAATATCTACGAGCCCTTTCTCACTTCAGTTGGCCCACTTCAAGATTTGTACCAAAAAAATATGCCTTTATAAACTAAACATGATGAAACTATTTATTTCTGAAACAATTTATTTTCTCAACCACATTTTAGATACACTCTAGTTGTAAAAAATACATATTTGAAATCACTTAGACCTATAACTAATAGAACATCTGAACATATAAGCAATGTGCGAATAAATGCGCGAAGTTAACAAAGCAACAACTGAAAGATTACCATTGGGTAACGTCACCCTTACTTTTTATTACGGCTGAAATTATTTGTGGCATGGTGTTAACCAAGTTTTGGCAAAAATTTGGTGTAAAACAATCCCATATTTCTTGAAGCTTTTGCCTCGGTTCGGTGATTGTAGGAGCAGGATGTTGTCGTAGAACCTTTTTCATCTCGTGCCACAAAGTTTCAATAGATGACAGATCTGGACTGCTAGAAACCCATTTCAAAAGTGGTACATTATTTTCTTCCATCCATTTTATAGCCTTTTTTGAGGTATGGCACGCTGCACCATCCTGCTGAAACAAAATCTTGGCCGAATGTCAAACATTCTTCCATCACTGGTAAGAGCGATTCTTCTAAAATTGCCAAATATTTGTTTGTATCTACATTTCCATCAATAAAATGAAGTTTTCCTACTCCTTTTGATGATATGCTGCCCCAGACCATAATGGATGCTGGAAATTTCACTTTTCTCTTCAGACAATCAACATGGAATGCTTCATTTTTTTTTGCGAATAACTCTACTGCGACTGTCACCAAACAAACTTCGAATCGGGCCTCATCACTCCATTGTATTGCACACCATTCTTGAAGTGTCCATTGTATATGTTCTTTAGCCCATCTAAGCCGATTTTTCGTTTGCAGTGGAGTTAATAGTGGCTTTTCTTTGGCCTATAAACTAGTTGTTCAACTTTAGCGTTTTCACTTCACTTTTTTATAAGAAAACTTGCCTTACAAGTGCTAAATCTCAGTTTGTGGGCCTCTCTATGAGTTGTGGACCTCGAAATTCTCCTTCCAACAGCGTCATTCCACAGAGCACTTAATTGTAAATAATTGGCACGCCTGTTTTTCACGATTATTCTTCTTAATGCTCTTCGGTTGGCATTTGTGATATTACTTTTTTTCACATATCGTGGCTTGATATTAACTGATCCACTTACATTATATCTACAAACAATAGTTCTCACACTGTACCGCGATAAGTCTAACAAAGTTGCAATTTCTGAGTTTGATTTCCCAGAATTAAAAAATTTAATTTTCAGAAACCGAATTTTCTCACTAATAACCTTTCCTCTACCCATTTTGAAAATCTTAACTACCCAAAACTATTTTAAACGTATTCTGACAGCTGTGATTAATAAAAACAATTGTCATGGCTTTTATTTTTCACAGCCACCTGTGCTTTATAGACTTATTTTGCATTGAAATGAAAATGGGTTGATATGCTGAAATTGCAACATGTGTTATTTTTATATTGCAAATTTGATTAGGGAGTGATGAAGTTTTTTTTTTTTATACTCGAACTACCACGAAGGCCTAAGGCCTAAACACCCATTGGGTACCGTGGGGCTATAGGGGGATACATGGGAAAGGGGGGGGGACGCCACACGGATTCTGGCTCCGCCTACGAGAACCGCCGGGTGGTACCTCCGCGTTCGACAGTCAGAGACCATCTACCACCTACGGACAATCACAACATCCATAGCCAAGAGAAAAATTTCTCCTGGGACGGGACTCGAACCCGCACAGCGCACGGCGACTGATCAGGAGACCGAAGAGTCTACTACTGCGGCCACCGCTGCTGCCTATATAAAGTTGGTGTTTTCTACCATAGATTATCAAAATATTCATTGTTAGTATTTTAAACCTATAACACCCTGCTACATTTTTATTATTTGTGTTTAATAAGAAAAAACTAAGATTTCAATAGTTGGGCCAACTGAAGTGGGAAGGGGCTCGTAGTTGCTCTGGAATATGTCACTGGCTTTTGACAGCTGACAGGTCTCTGCTATTCAAATCTGTTCGCTGACACATCTTTTTCATTATTCAGTTTTTACAATCTTGATAATAGTGTTGAATTATTTGAATGCAGAAATGTCGGAAATGCTTTACGTATATGTCCCTGCCGACGGTAATGGTGAGCAAGCCAGACAAATTTATCACAAGAGATATCCCGATCGTGCTTTGCCAGATAGTCGAACCTTTTCTAATATTCATCGTCGTCTTGTTGAAAGTGGTTCTTTCCGAAAAGGAACATCTTAAGGTAGGCCTCTAAGTGTGAGAACACCTGAAATTGAGGAAACAGTGCCTCACGAAGTCGAAGATCATCCTGAAACGAGTTCGAGGAAGATCGCTAGACACTTACATATTTACCATCAAATTGTTTGGAGAATTTTAGTGGATTTTTTATTATATGCTTACCATATCTTAAGAGTACAGGCATGACTTCCCATTAATTTTAGAAGGCATGTGACTTTTTGTCAGTGGTATCTTCAAAAAATTACACAAAAACCGCAATCTGAATCAATGATTCTGTTCACGGACGAAGCTAATTTTTCTGGAAATGCAATTCAGAATTTCCACAATAATCATTTGTGGACAGCAGACAATCCCTATGCTGTAACCAAAACCCCCTTTTCCAACACCAATTTTCGGTTAACGTATGGGCAGGAATTATTGCCAACCACTTTATTGGCCCATTCTTCTTGCCGGGACGACTTGAGGGACAGACACCTCAATTTTCTCCAACAACAGCTGCCTTTGCTGCTTGATGATGTTCCGTTAGTGATAAGAAACAATATGTGGTACATGCATGATGGTTATTTACAAACTGTTTATTCAAATCTTAGGATTGGCCGCGGTGGGCCCCAAGAATGGCCACCAAGGTTCCCAGGCCTCAACAGTTTAGATTTCTCTTTGTGGGGCTATCTTAACACACTAGTGTACACAAGTTCCATTAACACTGTAGAGGAATTAACAGAAAGAATAGTTGCAGCTTGTGATAGAATAAAAACCACTCCAGGGATATTTCAACGAGTGCGCAATTCCATGAGAAGGAGGGCGGAACCATTCATAGTAAGTAAAGAACAATTTTTGTAATCATTTCGTTTGTTTTAATGTTATTTTTATATTGTCAGTTGTTGTTGTTTAATGCTTCCAATTAAATTAATAAGAATTTTGCAAGTTAGACAATAAAACGATTCTTATTTTTTTTCTCAAAAATGGCACATCGAAGGAAAACAATTCAATTCATTTGTTTTGAATCAAACGGGAAAATCAAAAATAATTTCTAATTGGCAAAAAAACATTGGCGTACCATGTTTTTCTTAAAAAATATTGAAGTCAATGTTAAAGCTAAAAATTATTTTTGCATTGAAAAATATGCAACTTTATTAACTTTCACGACGTACTAAATATCAGTGAAATATCTGAAGCGGTTCTGAAAATATTAATTAATTTCCGTTATTTTCCTAAAGCTGCAACACCCCGAGTTTTTGAAAGGAAACATTTTTGGACCATAGTTGATAAAGCAAACTATCATTAATTTTTCT